TGCGATACGGATCTTAGATGAATTCGAAGAAACACGATCCCTCTTCCAATCCCTACAACGAAATAAAAACACTGCGCAATGACTAATGTGTTCAACAAACGATTGCAGCATTATGTCACTCGCTGTGGAATTCCATTGCGGGAAGACAGGTCGCCGGATGTCTAAACCTGACAATATAGCGAATAATCGTGTATAGACACTACCGGTACAGTTAATACCAGACAAACCCGGAAATATTGATTAAGAGTTATAATAAACTGTCATGTAAAGGAAGAATTGAGATTTGAATAGTTTTCTTATAAATAATGTCGCATGATCGATGAATAGAAACATCATGCTTTGAGTTATTTTTGGAATGTGTAAAAACCTATATCCTTTGATTTCAGTTCACGGAAGTGTGTTTCACAAAGCATGATATGTCTGTCAATACGATCGTGATCCTGTTCGCTTGGTGTTCGTATGTTTGGAAATGACCAGATAATTTTTGTAATTTATCCTAAACGAAACACTCGTGTCACGGTAATTTTAGGGTACTTTAGAAACCGGTGAGCGAGGTCTAACACCGTTTTTCAGTATTTCTTTATTTCCGTACTGAGAAGACCATAGATGTATAGTACATTAAGGAGCGGTCGGGTAGCCTAGTGGTTAAAGCGTTCGTTCGTCACGCCGAAGACCCGGGTTCGATTCCCGACATGGGTACAATGTGTGAAGCCCATTTCCGGTGTCCCCCGCCGGTATAGTGCTGGATTATTGCTAAAAGCGGCGTATAAAACCACACTCACTCACTATTGTACATTATAAATAAGTACATTCAGAGCAGTAGAGTCTATAACATTATACTTTCCTGAGTCTCATTGCATGATAAATGTATAAAGACACGTTTTGTAAAAGTAAGCAATTTGAGTGGTTTAACACAAACGGGATTCACATAGTAATATTCAGGTATATACCTCGTCCTCAATATTGAATAAAATGGACATATAAAAAGAAAGTGATATTCATTTTCAATGTCATTTTAGCAATAGTCCAGCAATATCAAGGCAGGGGACACCAGAAATGGCCTTCACACATTGTACACATGTGGTTAATCGAACCCGGGTCCTCGCCATGACGAGCGAACGCTTTGACCACGAGGCTACTCAACCGCTTCTTAAAATAAATTAAAATTAAATAAGACATGACACAAGTAGGTTGTTATATTGCCTAACTGGCCCTTATTTCACAGTCGGACTGACCATGTGTGCCGACCCTGTGACGTGAAGTTAACCCACTAATCACTGGTTCTTAGAGGGCGTGACCCTTTGTGTCAGCCTGGCTGGGCAGACTTGCATAATGGGCCACAGCTGGAGTGACCGTGAGTTTAGCCGCATATGTGAAACATAAAATATCTTGTATGCGGCGGTCAGTTAGTGCATTCACTGCACTGAATTTACTTTAAGAATAGCAATATTAATTTACCGATAGAGATTGATTAATATATATTTTCTAATAGGAATTTGGTGTTAGAAGAAAGCTATGACAGACTTGTCGGTAAAATAGCTAGAATAAAAATATGTACAGCGTCCCATATTCGATTCCCAAAATGGGTTCACTTTGTGAAGCTCATTCTTTGTCATGCCCGCCGTGAAATTATTATTACTGGAAGCGGCGTAAAAGCATACTCACTCACTTATGCGAGTAACGAACTGGTGATAAAGGCGCAGCATACCAATCGTGCAATGACTGGGCACTGTTCCTTATTGATGTTGAACTTGACTGCGTGAGGCGATAGCTCATTTCATTTGTTTTGACCTAAATGCGTCAAAAAGTTCTAAGCCTGACTAACTTTTAACTATGGGCCATAACAAAGTGAACTAGACAATGTAGTTCATTGTTTGAGTAGTTCATTGCAAGTGTATTTGCTCTGTTAAACGTGAGAGGGGGCTTCAGAAAACTTCTTCCTGACAGGAATTGAAAAGCTTCACTATCGAAATGAGAAGTGTATTGAAAAGCAGATTATGTTGAAAAATAAAATTAAAACACTTTCACAATTGCATGTTTTGTTTGTTAGGCTTAGAACGTTTTGACCAGCTCTCGTAGAATACACTAAATGTGTATTCCGTTTAGGATTAAGGCACGTGCCTAATCATGTTTAGATCTTAACATGTCTGGTCTGTGTTTACACCCTAAACACATTTTTACAGTGTACGTATTTCCTCTTTCCAAAACAAAAAGTCCCTTGAGATTCCCCAAAACGGGACTTGTCAGTTATCTACTGATAATACCCTTTCAAGGAAATAAATTGGATTCTGTCGGATAAAACTAAAAATAAGCTTGCGTATTACAATAACACGTAGTACCGTTCTTGAATTTCCGAAAACAAAGGTGTGTTTTGTGAGAATTGTTTTTTTAACTTTAACGCCGCAGGTTGCATTACAAATTTACAAGGATGTAAGTTTTCATGTGGCTCCATTAGGACCTTGACGGTACAAAGTACGTATATACGTATCCATCTGCATGCTTTCCACGACTCGACACTACACAGTCACACATTGCCCTGTAGTCGACACGACCCGCCCTGGGTAAACGATATTTGTGTGATGGATGGGCATCCTTTAATAGGAACATGTTGCAGCAAGTTTTGTTTTTTTACTCTCTCGTTGAAAGGAAAAAGATAACCATTTTAGCACTTCATCCCTGGGATACGATTCTTCACTAGGTATTTGCTATTTCTAATCCAACTATAATTTATGATAGACATAAAACAAGACATGACTACCTCAAAGATATACGGCATACAATAGATGGAGTTTTTCAGGTATTGCGACAGGCAGATGGTTGACGAGTGCTTAAACTTGTTTTGTTCTTGATTGAGCCCCATAATGCCGAGCGACAGGCAAGGAACAACAAGTACCATCTTTGAACGTCTTTTAGCATGACGCGGCAGGGGATCGAACCCCTGACCTTTCGCTCTGCGGGCAGACGCTCTACCCGAATGCAGTATAGATGATAAGTAACACAATCACAAATTATTGCAGCATGCATAGTAACACAATCACAAATTATTGCGGCATACACAGTAACACAAATTATTGCATTATGCATAGTAACACAATCACAAATTATTGTGGCATGCACAGTAACACAATCACAAATTATTGCGGCATGCATAGTAACACAATCACAAATTATTGCGTCATGCATAGTAACACAATCACAAATTATTGTGGCATGCACAGTAACACAATCACAAATTATTGCGTCATGCATAGTAACACAATCACAAATTATTGTGGCATGCATAGTAACACAATCACAAATTATTGCGGCATACATAGTAACACAATCACAAATTATTGTGGCATGCATAGTAACACAATCAAAAATTATTGCGGCATACACAGTAACACAAATTATTGCGTCATGAATAGTAACACAATCACAAATTATTGTGGCATGCATAGTAACACAATCACAAATTATTGCGGCATACACAGTAACACAAATTATTGCGTCATGCATAGTAACACAATCACAAATTATTGTGGCATGCATAGTAACACAATCACAAATTATTGCGGCATACACAGTAACACAAATTATTGCGTCATGAATAGTAACACAATCACAAATTATTGTGGCATGCACAGTAACACAATCACAAATTATTGTGGCATGCATAGGAACACAATCACAAATTATTGCGTCATGCTAAGTAACACAATCACAAATTATTGAGGCATGCATAGTAACTTAATCACAAATTATTGTGGCATGCATAGTAACATAATCACAAATTATTGTGGCATGCGTAGTAACATAATCACAAATTATTGTGGCATGCATGCATTGTAACGCAGTCACAAATTATTGCGTCATGCACAGTAACATAATCACAAATTATTGCGGCATCAGCAACATCAAGGTATAGATACATAGTTGCAAGCACACACACGTGTATTTCAACAAGTGATATTCGCTTATTCTAAAGGATGTCAGTAACGATACCATAGAAATCGGTACATCGACATTGTCACGTGATCTTATTTAATATTATCAGGAGCACGTAGACCGTTTTCTATTAATCGAGTGTACATATTTCGATTTTTTTAAGAGGCGACTAACGGGATCGGGATCGGGAAATTATAAATTGAACATACAATGAACTACACGAACAAAAACAGGAATTACAAAACAGGAAACAAACCTAATCAATCAGTTCCACGAACAAAAATGTGTGACACGACGTAGCAGAAGAAGTCATCTACAAAGACATAGTTATATACATTTTCAGTAAATCTGGACACGTCATCCAAGTATTGTAAGCTATTTTCACGCACTGTTATTATCGATCGTTGCCAAGAATTGTCTGGCTGTAAATAACTTGTACGCTTGCCTATTTCTTGGAAATCACCCTTTGTCCCATATAATATATACGCCTTTATCTTATCTGATACAACAGGTGCAACGCAATACGTGTCCACTTCTATAGCCTGCCCTTAACGCTATCGCAAACTGGATTTGTCAATACAGTAGACTTATTACGTTGGCGGAATGTTCAGAATAATATTCACGTATCGACAGGATGGGCATCATTTATTTGTCAATTCCGAACTGATACTTTGGCACACCTCAAAATCAGACGAATACAATAGCTGAAATGTTTAATATATGTGTTGCAATGACGCTCACGCCTGCTCGCTTCTCCCACACAGTAACGATACAGGTCAGGCTCTAGGGCCTACTCCTCTACAATATGAAGGTCAAGACTGGCTATTGTACTCCGTGGTATCGCATAATAAGCACGTAACAGTCATACAAATAATACAAGCATATTTCGAAAGAGAATAAGTAATATAATTAACAAAATATGCATTCGTATGCATAACAACATAAAACTTTCAATACTCACCGCGACGTTGGGTCGAGAGGCGAGGGAGTACCTTGGCTATTTTTAGCTCACCGCACTTGTTTCACGAGTGAAAGGCGGAGCCATGGTATTCAATATTATTTATCCGTGGCAGGACTAGACATATTTCTAAGAAGTCGAAACTTGTTTTTGGAAGAATTAGCGACCACATATTTTACTATTTCTTTCAGGAAGCTATTCAGATATCTTGGGGGTTTAGCATGAAACTACATGCCATAATGCGGTGTGTGTCATGCGCAGTAGCGATCTTTCTGCGAAATCGGGATTTCCCAATAATCGGCGAAGGATTTCCTCGAAATGTTAATAGGTAGTCACACTGTAGAGCCGTAGTGTTGATATAGCGTTGACAGCGATGGATCTGGTCAGTATGAATTTCACTCTGACAGCGCTATCATCAGTTCAGTTAATCAAGACGGGTATTGAAGCTGTACATTGTGTATCGGAATGCCCCCTTCAAGCTGTGACCCAGCTGTCCACAAGGCTATGTGTAACTCTCACGACACCGACTTATGTCTCGCGGACTTAGCGCAACGGGACATTCGCGTTGATGTGCACTTATATGATATACAGAAATCGCCAGGCAGAACTCTGGCGAGTGTAACGAAAGAGCCACAAACGAGAGAGACTGATGTATCGAAAGAGACTAAGGATTATGTTTATCAGAAAGTCACATCTGAATTTGACTTTGACATCGTTTTTAAAAGTCTGTGCGATGCAAATGACAGCTGCTGGTACTACGGGGATTGTTCCAGTGCAGAGGCAAAGGCGGTCCTTAAGCATCAACCGAGAGGCACGTTTATTATCAGGAACAGCTCCGATCCGAAATATTTATTTGCTCTGAGTGTGAAAACAGAGAGAGGACCGACCAGTGTAAGGATTCGGTATTCACGTGGTTTATTTCAACTGGACTGTGAGGACCATTTGAAGAACAAGTTACCAAAGTGTGAAAGTGTGGTTGGACTTGTAAATTTCCATATAGCTTTGAGTAGGACCAAGGTGTTCAAGGATTGTCGATGGCTGGAGAAATCGGGGTGCAGAGACATGCCCGTGTATCTCACACAGCCCAAACGCAACCAAGTCCCAACGCTACAGCATCTATGTAGACTACAAGTTAATTCCTCACTAACAGATCTACACTTCCCGGAAAGATCGACTCGAAGACTCCCTCTACCTAAGAGTATGATGACATATCTGGAGGACTACCCGTATACTATATGAAAGACGGGAGGGGTCTCAAACGTTTAGGTATTGTGAAAATGTCGTTAACAATTGTTGTAAAAGTGTCGTTATGGCGAAAGGCGAGTCTTCTGAAGTCTTTGGAGCAAACTCTGCTGGGAAGGATTCTTCGAAAAGACTCAGTTCCAGGAACGCTTATGTTGCCATGGTACCGTAACCAAGAATTGAAACGATTACCTAACAGCGTAACGTGTGTACGGAGAACCACGAGGGTAGAGTATACAGAGAACCACGAGGGTACAGTATACAGAGAACCACGAGGGTAGAGTATACAGAGAACCGACTCGGGTGCCGTATACAGAGAAACTGTGTGATTTACTAACAAGATGGGATGTATGCGGATATTCCTGATGAAGAAGCGGAATGAGGGCAGTGAACGCAATGGAGGATACACAAACTGGTAACAGGTTGTCTGCAAATGCCATATGTGCTGAGCGCCAATCTAAAGAGAGACTGTGTGTTTATGGCTGATGCGCAATCCATGACGAGCTACGGAGGTAATATACATGTGTCTGTCCTCATCACCCCCTAAATACGGACATCTTGTAATCAACCTCACGTAGTCAATTCAATCAAAATGAACAGACAATCTATCATGACAGTGCACTTGTTCATATAGACTCCCACTCACCAGTTCTCATTGTAAACTTGCCAATTCATTAATTTATATTGTTTCGTTTACGTTGTTAACTGTCTTAAACTACATTGTACATATACACGTCTTAATTAATTGTCAATGTTGCAATGAGACGCGAGAATGGAATGTTTGTTTTGGTCGTTGCCGGTGATGGCTACTTCTATCATGTGGTATGTTTATGTGTATGACTGTATGGATATATGGATGTTTGCTTGAAATTAAAACTAGAACATACAATCTCTTCATCTTATTTATTCAATTCCTCTGTGGTTCTTCGCTGACTCGCGTTCGCCCATACGTCAACCATGTTGATTTTAGTTTATTCGTTGTACATAGCGACAACCATAGGCCCAGATTACATGAAAACACACAAAATATATTTGCATGGTACTGGATGGAACACACACAAGTCAATTATAAATAAAGGTCTTACGTATCCGATAACACTGGATTTACAAGTGGCAGGCTCAGGGACACTTGAACGTGTAGAAATCAATATGACAGTCCCTTTAAATACCCATGCCGACCGATCCGCTCTCGGTTGGGTATGGGCTGCCTTTTATGGTATCGTTCTGGGTGTAATACGAAGGTTGTATTTGCGTCACGACTAATTATATACAACATCCTAGTACCTCTGTTGAACTGACCTGATTGTGTCCTCACAATGGCCATCGGTGTTTCCCCACAGCAAAGTGTGATCTTGATATCGGGATTTGTCAGAAATAATATATAACAGCGGGTTAGCATCAGCCGAAGTGGAACCAGACACTCAACAACATTGGATTGTAACATTACAGAAATTAACACTGTGTTGATCAGGTGGGCTATATACAGCTTAGTTTAACAATGACGTCATGTTGCTGTGCGCATTGTAAACATTATAGGTGTTGTGAATAACCACTGAACATTGATTGACAACCGTCTAATTTTGATACTAAAAAATATTTATTAGAAAGAAAAAAATACCATCAACCTCAATTTCTTTTTAAACAATTACGCAGGGTAATAACCAACTTTGTTTATGTTTTATCAAGTACAAGTAATACGTTTTTGTTTGTTTGTTTGTTTGTTGTTTAACGCCGCACTCGGCAATATTCCAGCTATATGACGGCGGTACAAGTAGTACATACATAGGTGTAATTGTTATTGCGAATAATAGAAGCTAACTACATTATTATAGTTTAGACTACAGCCAAGATAAACTAATAACCGTGAAAGTTACCTAAAAGGGTTCAGGATGGGCTATTTCTTGTAAACTACAACAGGATATTAAGCCCTTGAGAACTTTTCGCTCATTGAGGTTAGCTATTCTTCTCAGCCTAATTCAGGAAAAGGGTGCAGGCGTACTTATGGAATTACATAGGAATATAGGGGTCCGCCTTCACCAACGTGATAAGCGTATATGTATCCGGCTCACGAGAGCATCCTGCGTGGACATTATAAGATGATCCCTGTAAATAACAACAACTCCGTTTGATTTAATTTCTATCATGAAATGTATCACAAGACACGTGTAAGATAGAAAACGTGTACAGTAAACTACGGTTATAACGAACTCAAAGGGACTACTTATTTTAGTTCGTTATAAGCATTTATACAGCATAACTACAGCAAATAGTCGGGACCAGCAAAGTAAGTTCGTTATATCCGTCAGTTCGTTATAAGCGTGTTCGTTATAACCGTAGTTTACTGTATTTGCAGAAAAGTTAAAATGTTAATTGTTAAATATTTGAAGTTTGATCACAGCTGTGTAAAAGCCGTCTGGCTGTAAATATACATACACATATACATCCACCACTGACCAGGATTACAAGTATTTGATGTAAACATCAACAGGTATCCTGTCTTCTTCAGTACGAACGGCGCTGTCAGTCGCGCTCCGAGCTGAGTGGGCTGTTTTTGACCAATCAGACCGCGTGGCGTTGGTTCTAAGTACAAGGAAGTGAAGGATCTCGGTGGATAGGTATCCAGTGAGAGGGATAGTGCGTCTAGATCAGTGTGTTGGGGTGAAACGTCAATCTTACTGAAAATATTGATCAAACGTCCTTGTGAGGCAACGAGAAAGAGATTACAGTAAACTACGGTTATAACGAACTCGCTTATAACGAACTGACGGTTAAAACGAACTGACTTTTTGGTCCCGACTACTTGCTGTAGTCTTGCTTTATATGTACTTATAACGAACTACGGTTATAACGAACTAAAATTAGTAGTCCCTTTCAGTTCGTTATAACCGTAGTTTACTGTATAATATATCATAACTCATGCACTTGTGTTTTGTTCACCAACAAAGCTAATAAAGTTATAACGTGAAAACGTGGTCACAACTTATAGGCAGCAACAGACATGTTACAATATGTAATCATTGATATGGAGAGATAATAACGAAAACTACCTACTCCACATCTCCCTAACAATAGATCAGGTGGTATCACCACAGCTGTTTGAGGTCAGGGATATTTCGTAGAACACCTTAAAGATTGCGCTAAGGTAACTTTCAGTTTGACTGCTTCATTTCTAAGAAAAATCTCAGCTCAGAAAAAGAAAGCACTTACTAGGGCGCAACCAAACAACTTTGTGTGTGCGGGTGTACGTGCGTGCTAGCTTTGTTTGGGACCCCGCTCGACAAAGGGGGGGGGGGGGGGGGGGGGGGGGGGGGGGGTTAAATAGGCCTGATCAACACTTTGGGCTGCCACGTATTGTAATCTTTTCGAATAGTTCTACTTTTGTTTTCGTGCATTACGGGTGGGTGAAACATGTCACTTTATAACGCAATCTATGCCAGTGACGTCATGCTATTGTGCGGATAAATAACGTCAGTTACACTAACACTGTGTATATTTCACGTGATTTGACGTCATTCAGCTTTCATAACGTAATAACAAGGATTTTTTCAGAATTGCCCGCAATATCGTAAAGGTGCATCTCAAATATAGTATGTTTTGTCCCTCGTGTATAAGAGCTGCAAGCCCGTCACCAAAGACTAGGGATTAACATCTCGGGACAGATAATCCGTAAAACCTTGTGCCTTGTTGCTAAGTAACCTGCTAGCAACAAAGAATTATAGATAATCTCCATAACGCTATATTACAGGTACACCTGAAATAAATCCTCTGGAATGACGTTTAAAATTTGTGTCCTGACATCATCATCACTCGAATAGACCTGTGAAGATCCGAGTCTTCATCCCCCATGCTTGCCGCAAGAGGCGACTATGCTTGTCATCAGAGGTGACTAACGGGATCGGGTGGTCAGGCTCGCTGACTTGGTTGATGCATGTCATCGTATCCCAAATGCCTAGATCGATGCTAATGATTTCAATCAATGGATTGTCTGGTCCAGACTCGATTATTTACAGACCGCCGTCATGTAGCTGGAATATTGCTGAGTGAGGCGTTAAACAACAAACGAGTTCCCCTGTAATGAGATGGGGAGTGAATAGTTCTGGCATCTTACGAGCGATATTTGTATTACACAGGAACGATTTTAGTATTTTATTTAGTACTTGTCGTTTTTAACTTTTTAAAGGTCCTTGGTTCAAACAGAATAATACTTTAAATACATTAAAAGTTGACACGAATTAATTTCATACCATACAGCGCCGACTTTAAGAATTCACCACAAAGTTTACAATCATTTCACAATACCCTATGACGTAGTTTGTTAAATTTGGTTGCAAGATGCACTGGCGACACAATGCCATATGACGTCAGCCTAGCAACAGGGTTGCTGGGCTCATCCATTATGTTTAGCTCCTCCCAGTGATCTCTATACGCAATGTCATTGAATAAGCCCAGGAATGTTGAGAGCTTTCGATGTTGGTTTGTGAAAATAGTTCCCGCAATACATAAGCACGCGCTTTGGTATTAAACACTGTGTAATACCAGTTCAATGTTATTAAACAGTATTATCTTCAACGGCCGTGTAATAAAACAATTATAATCTATAACATGTTATAGAACATGTATATGCCATCGTAGTAGGCAACATACCCGTGTCTCGAAGGTTTCACCAAAGTAGTGATTACAAACGTCGACGACCTGGGACCTCCCCAATCCTAAAGCTGACATTTGGCATATATACTGCAAGAAGCGGCGGTAAACCACATTCACTCCAATATCCAACTCTATTGGCACATGTTTTAAAAACAGTAATCCGAAGTTGTGACTAATTGATAAAAATGTGATATTCTGTGATGAGAGAGGGCGTAGGCCCGCCCAATGACCACGTGGTCCAATGTTAGCCCTGGTATTAATAACATGTTATATTTGCATACGTTCCCTAGCCAGACCCCGGTGTTTGATCATCTATATCTGGAGCCGTCATCTTCCAACAAAACCAAATAAGCTTCTAATTTATAAAACCAGTGATGTTCAGTACACAGAACACTATGCAAACAATTTTAACTTAAAGAAAATGCGGTGGTGCAATTTTCTGAACACGGTGGGTGTATGTCAAGCACAATTCTTTCTTATGTATATGTCATCGCCATGACTGCCTTTTCCTGGAAACTAATCGAGGGAGATCACGTTAACCAGATCGGTACATACAATGAAAGCAACTTCGGAGAAATCAACCTAAGCTCTTAAAAAAGAACACCACGTGACCGACCATAATTTGACCACGTGACTCTCATTTGCCTGGTGATTTCTGAAATAATTGCGCAGTTGTTTCAATCGTTTACCTTTCACACATACATAATCAAAATAATCACATATTCTTGAAACGATTCTTTTCAATACCAGCTGGTACATAAATGGCAGGGCAAAAGGAAGTAACACGTGAAGATTGGATTTGATCAAAACTTTACACACGTTATCAAAACGTTACTAGGCTGGAAAACAGCCGCCGACACACTGCAAACTCAAGGTCCAAGCCACTACTATGATACCCGCGTGAAATATAAATACAATTTTGTTTTTCATTTTTAGCCACCACCAAACAAAATACTTTGATTTGCCCGACAGTTTATGTCGGACTAGTGTTTGGTCTCATGCTAACGTATCGCCATGGTTAACAGGAACAACAATTACAGTGAATTTAATTATTAGTACGGAAGATATGTATTAAGTTGCTGGTCAAGAGAACCCTTCTCTCAATATCCTGTTATGAGTGGAACTACTGTATACGAGGATGTCATGCAAGAGAGAGAGAGAGAGAGAGAGAGGAGATGAGTGAGTGAGTTTCCACGTTGCACGTTGTCGGGGCACGGTGACAAACAGTTCTCAGTGAGT